CGAACGTCCTCAATGGTCGGAGATGATGCCTTGGACGCGCACCTAAAAAGTTCATAACCAATGTGGAATTGCGTTCGCGATCGTAACCAATTGATCTGACCTAGGACACTTCTGTATGCAGTATGCATTTGTGGAGTGAGAGGGGTGTCGTCCTTCAGGTGTTTGTCAAAGGTGATCTCCTAAAGTTCGTCAATGGCAACGTTCTGATGGACATGGATGTACCCGCCATGCTTGTCGTCTTGCTTCCATTGGATGCGTTGTCCTACGAAGAGGCAATCATTTTTGTCTTCGGAACCAACTTGAAAATCTTTACGAAGTCGTCCCATGATTTCCTTCTCGAACACATCATCACCCGTCATAAGAAGATCATCATCATGAAGAGAAAGCGCTCCATGAACTTGTCGATTCTTGGCATTGTTACCGGAAACGGGATCCATGAGGTATCAACTGCTCCTTCGAGATCGAAAGTATTGGATGACTTCTTTTCACTCACCAATGCGGGCTTCGGAAGCTGCTTGCCGTAGTAGACATATGTACAACCGTCTGCCCTGGTTGGCACCAGTCCGAAAGAACGGAGTGCCGAATCCAGGATGTTCCACCATCTGCGGGGTGCATCATGTAGCCCGTAGGCATGCGCGTGTCACGAGTCTGATCGTATGCTGTGCCTTGGAGGAACGCTGTCTTCAAATCCATGTGAAGTATATTCCAGCCCGTATTTGCGGCTGCTTGGATTGCAAGGCGGAAACCACTCCTGGACGCAGCAGGACTGTCTGTCTGCTGATCGTTCGTCTGCTTGTCTTGGAAGCCCCGGAGGACCCAGCGAGCCTTGGTCTTTAGCAAGTTACCATCCTTGTCTCGCTTTAGGGTAAGGACCCAGCGACCGGTGACCCAGTTCCTGACATGAATCTTGCGTGTGTCGACCAAGTCAAACACTTTGTTGTCAAGCCAAGATTTGCACTCAAGGCTTCAAGGAATTGCTTCTGATAAGCCCTTGTCTCAGTGGCTGTCGCTTCCTTCCGCTTCTTGCCAATGAGTGTGGATGTGGATGAATCTTGCTTGGATGAGCACAAGACTAAGAGTGCACGGTCATCGTCTGTCATGTTCTCGCATAACTGGTGAACATGATTCTTCTCTGTGTGTTTCTGATGAGAGAATCCGCATCGGGGCGATGGGTTGAAGGTCCCCACACGTCCAAGAAGGACAGGGTTGCCTTCAATATTTGTCTCGGAACCGTAACGGATCCAGTTTCGCACAGATCTTCTGCTCGGCTGTCATGAATGACCAGTGTGCCTCATCAAGAACGAGGTCAGCTTGGTGATCATCGTAAGCTCTGGTCCTCTGAGAGTCTTCTGATTCTCCATCTTCCTGGTCAGTATATCTCATGGTTCTCTCTGAACTTACTTTCATATTGTACCGGCAAGTTTGCTGGATTGTTCGGATTGTAATTGGATGAAGATGCAGGTTCATTTCTGGGAGAATGCTCAGGTGACGCATCATTGTCATCTGGCTTCTTCTTCTTCCCAGTTTTCTGCTTCTTGGATGGACTGCCAGTTGTTTCTTCTTGCTCAAGTGTCGGCAGTTCAAGATCTTCATCATGGTCTTCTGCTTCGGGATTCGTCAAAATTGCAGGCGGCGAAGGTACCACGACAGTCGGAAGAATTGGTTGAGATGATTGCGACTGTGACGGCAAAGAGACATCACCCCCCAGTCGATTGAGTCCGCTCGCCAGGTTTGTCGTGCGGCGGCAAGTGGCGCTGGCGGCATGGGATGATCAGGCTGATTTGGAGGATAGGATCTGACATATTCTCGTCGGTGGTGTTGGAGGTCTTGGATCAGGCATGGGATGGTCCGGTTGATCAGGTGGCTGCTGTGTGTCAGGTTGGTGAGGTTAATCCGTTGGATCCGATGGATCCGTCTCGATGGGCATCGGCCTGATAGCCGGCGCATCTGAGAATGACTGATGAACGGATGAAAACATCACTGCATGCCAAGTCTTCGGAACATAATTTTCCCAATTGCATTTTGATGCAGGCAAGACCCAAATTCTATTCAGCTGATCAGGCTGCCAAAAGGATATGATCGCATCGTCCGGAAGTGACGTAATTGGCATGTTGATGCCGATGGTGTGGACGTATGCTGCGCATGCATCATACTGAGTGGATGACATGCACAATTGTCTCAGCTTCTTGCAACCATTCCACATGTTCTGACATCGCCAGTCATTAGGATCTTGTTTGAAGATATCGATTTCAGTCCCCGGTGGGTACTGCTTCAATGTCTTCTGAAACTTCTGGACTAGCGGATCTTGGATGACCAATGGTTGAGGTCCTTGTTTCTCAGTGACATAGCACTGGTCAGTCTTTCTCTCTGATGATCTGACAATTCACTCTGTGTGATGAAAAACTGCGCAATGAGATTATCCCCGAAGGGAAATGCGTCCCGCTGTCTGTCCTGCATTCCTGTGATATACTGTCTGGGTACTGTTGGATCATGCTCAGCGGCACTCGAACACCAGCTGCTTGCTGATGTCGAGCAATTGTTCTTGCCTTTGCGTCCTGCACGGACTGTCGAAATGATGGGGACTGTGCCGTGAAAACGGGCATCAAGTCCATCCATGCTGCCTTCACATAAGAAGGATTTGGAACTCTTGGTTCTGCCTTCTATGATTGAAGAAACTGAGGAGCCTGCACAGATACACATTGGTCGCACCCCTCAAAAAGTACTTCTTCAGCGTGTTCTTGAAATAGTTGACTCCTTCATCAGGATCTTGCACAAGGTCATTTTGGAGGACTGCCTTGTACATGTAAGCATCTCCTGCGAGTCTACTTGTGAGCAAAGGTCCTCTCTTGGGTGCCTCCAACGGAAGTGATTGTCACCCAGTCGTCCACAAGTTCTTCATACCTGAACCAGCTGACTTTTCCGTCGTACGACGGCGGCTGCTTGGCGGTCATTGATAAATTGAGTATTTCCTCCATACGGATGGTTTGGCCATACTTGAATAGGTTGAATGAAGTCTTCCATTGGATGACATTTTCCCTTTCTGCTACCACAAATTGAGGCCCACTGCCGGGGCGCCTATCCCAGAAGGGAACCGTTGATTTGGTCCCTGGATCTATTCCGGAGAGAGTCCAATATGCCAATATGGAGGATTGGAGGATGGATTGTCCCTGGTAGCTTGCATTGACTGTTATACCTGTAAAGCGGTCTGCAAGCCTTTTATCAATGTACCATGCGTCGAGTGACTGTACAATTGAACTAGAAGGGCCTTGAGCCATCATGTAAGCGGAGTGTGTGAATAGGTCAATGTGCAACAAAAAGCAAACACCCCCCCCCCCCCCCCGCCCCGGAATACTCAGGTTTTTGGCCAGAAATTGACACGTTGGCTGTAAAAATGCATGCCTAACACACGTTCCAGCCTCTAAAATTGGGCTCTAAGAATGCACTCTTTTTAGACTTCGATTCTAGCATCGGTACTCAGCGCAATCCAGTATGTGCAAGCACGTGCTAGCACATCCTGGATTGAAGATTGAAGATTGAAGGTTCTCTGACAACTCTCTCTGGGATTCTCCAATCTGCAATTTTCAATCGAGGATGCGCTAGCACGTGCCAGCACATATTAGTTTGTCCTAAAGATGGATTGACGATTTCAAGTAGTCTGAGAATCTTCAATGACCAATCTTCAATCCAGGATGCGCTAGCGCGTGCTAGCACACCCTGGATTGCCCTATGTGCGGATTGAAGAATCCAAAAGGCAGACCGGGAGCGCGCGTTGTCAGAATCAAATTGCGGATGTGTACTTGCACTGCCTGCATTTGGCCACGGGAAAACATGTTGTTGACACCTTTACAGGCTTTTTGTGGACCTGAGGGCTGGCCAGGATGGAAGATTCTCAAATACAAAACCTGGTAGATCTTCAATCTTCAATGCAGGGGGCAAATCCTTCAGAACAAACTAGCAAGCTTTTGGGGGGCCAGGATTGAGGATGTTCTAAAAATATGTTTGTGGAATCTTGTATATTCGATCTTCGACCCAAGGCAACACGATCTGAGCAAATGCTGAAAACACTGCGTTTTACAGCATTTCTGCCAAGAATGAGATCCATGGTTGAAAACACTTTCTGTCGTTGGCTTGGCTGAGTTCTTGCTTGGTTCAAACAACATGCAGTTCGATAAGAACAATAAACCTTTCAGAAGTTTGGTTCCAGCTATCTTCTCCAGTTGAGTCTTGAAATTCACAAGCGACTGCAAACGATTTAAACTTGAATTTGGATTGAACTCGAAAGCGGTTTAAACTGGATACCCTTCCTTTGCTTGAATTTCAACAGTTGGTATTGGCGACGATTGAATCAACTTAGACAAGCAACACATAGCTGAGATAGTTGCTTTGCAGAATATGTTTCAAATAGACTGAACTAGCATGTACATGGAGTTCTGCGCAACACTTGAGTTAACATGTAAATGCAACTGCGCAAGGATATGAAGTAGAAATGACCCAAGTTGATGATTTGCTGAATTTCGCTGCCAAACCAAATAATAAAAAACCAAACAATAGAGCTGCTCCAGGCGCGTTGAAGCTGGCAAAGCATACTTCGCGCACTACTCTTGTGCTGAAAAGTTGTGCGTTTTGAGCTGGAGCTGCCAAAGTGCACTTTGCATACTCCAATGTGACTTTATGTGCACTTCGCGCACGTCAATGTGACGGTCACACAACTCCTATTCAACGTTGAGCTTAACTTCTGCTTGATTGGAATTTGCATGGAGTTGCGCGTCCAGGCATTTGTCACCCCTAGTCTGGCCAAAAACCTCAGTTCTGGCCAAAAACCTGAGTATGTCAAGAGGGGGTAGCATACATTAATATATATATATATATATATAAATATGTATGACAAATCGGGAGAATTTGTGTATTCACTTGCTTGGTGTTCAGCGACATCTACATGTGTTGTGTTTTACGTGAGCCGATCCTGTCCCTTTGGGTGCGGCAACAGTTGACCAGTCAGCCTGAAGAGATGTGCCGTGCGTTGAAAAGCCGCTGTTCAGGTAGTTCGCCGTCACTTGACCATTCTGCGCGCACGGGGCTTGGAAGATTTGCGATGACACTTTGGCTTATCCGCCTCGCAGGCAGCCATCTTGAAGATGCCCTGAGCCTCATTGGATTTGGTGGAAACTGCCAAGTTGCCAAGAGTGCAAAGGGCCAGGCATGGAAGCTCTCGAAAGCGTGACCTGGAAGCATGATTGCATGCCGGTGGCATGCGGGTTTAAGCAAACGCAGCCTTCGCCGTTGATTGCAAAGTCATAGGGCTCGCATTTGTTGTCGTTGCCACTGTGGCATTTCCTCAACAAACCATTTCGTGAAGGATACGCAAGAAAGTGGCAAACGACTGGGGCAATAGCCCACCACCGCACCATACACAAGGCTGACCACGAGCCTGTCAAGGATCAAAACTCGATCCTTGCGGTAGGTGTCCATCAAACTCTATGACTATCCCCCCCCCCCGCAATTAAAATACAAAGGGGTTCATCACCCGGCACACGCGTCCCAAAGTCTTGCCCTTCGATGGGCCTTGAAGCCGGCAATGTACTCATAAGGTCGTCCATCCTTGCTCTTCAGGCACGCTTCTTCCTCCTGGCAATTTGCTTCTGGATTCGCACTAATGCGGTGCCAGCCACTGTGTCCTGGAGGCTGTTGCAGCCGGTTGCCGCTGACTCCAGGCATTGCAGGTTGGAAAAGACTGCATCAGGATCGTCCTTGCAAACGTGACAAATCCTCCAACTTGGAGAATAGAAAAAAGGTTGGCATGCCTTGCAGGATGCGACGTCATGGGTTCCGATAGCCTGGCAAGCCAGGGATTTCTTGCACGCACAAATACATGAAGTGAACAGTTTGATGTGCACAGTTTGACTGCCACTGCGTGCAAGCAAATTAGGCCGTCGCATGAGCAGTGGTGAATGCCTAAGCTTGAGTCATCCTTGAAAGGACGCTACGAACATTGAAGAGTTGTAACAAAGCGTTCACACATTCGTAGCTGCTAAGCACTAGACAACTCCCTGACCATTCATCATCCAGTCGTACGGAGCACACTTGGCATCTGAGTCGCTTGTGCAAAGCCTTGGCTACATCCGAGCAAAATCCAAAGTTGCCTCTTGCTTCTTGCCTCTTGCCTCTTGCCTCTTGCCTCTTTCCTCTTGCCTTTCCCCTTCTGTTTGGACCCCAGGCCAGGGAATCCTTGCTTTGCAATGCCCTCAAAGCACGCTGAGCTCACATTCTGCTCCTCAGACCCGTACCCATCTCCGCACCACACACAGGGCTCGCCAGCAATCTTGAATCCGCCCTTGCCCTCGGCGGTGGCGCTGCCATCCTTGCTGCCTCAGCATGCAAAGCTGGCGACCCTAGTAAAAGGTGACTGCGAGCTCCCCATTGCATTGCAATATTTCTTCTGGCGGTCCCTGGCTAAGGCAGTTGATCCTGTCGGAGATGGCAAAGCAGCCCTTTGCCTGGCAAATTATAGAGTTGAAGAACGGGGAATAGCACATGACTTTGCACACATGACTTTGAGGCGTCTCACCTCGGACTTCAGGCACTTCATGTTCTCCTGGCGATGTCCAAGCAATATCCGTCGAACTCTGAGCGAGAACCCTCAAGTCTAAGGCCTGAATTTGCAACAAAAATGATGTGTGTGTGCATTATAACGTTATTGCTCGACGCTAAGACACTGCCTCGGATGGGCGCTTGACCGCTGCAAAGCTAGCCTGCCAGGCCAGCAGGCTGCTGGCGCTCTTTGTGCCTCTTGCGGTCGCTCCTTGCCTGCACCTTCGCTGGCAAGCATTCGCAGACCGGGGAGCTGTCAGCGGCAAACTCGTCAGCGCAGCCCATCTCTGACCTCGGAGATGCGGCAAGGGATCGCGCGTCGGGCACGGCATCGAGGCCCCGACCGGACGTCACAGCTGTGCGCATGGCCCAGCCAAGCTTTCTTGCACGCAAGGTTGCCTGTGCTAAGGGTGCAGGGCCGGCTGATGTGAGCTTTGTCGTCGAAATGTCGTCACGTCCATGGCTGCTTCTCAGTCACTCTGGCCTTGCGCTTTGCAGTATCCTTCGCAGGTCTTGTATGTCGGGGCTGCCTATCGTGTCAGCTGCTCTTCCATGTCTGACGTTCAAGAGGCAACTCTAAGCACGCAGCAGATCGAGCAACCTGGACTTTGCAAAATCCGCATGTCTTGCCTTAGTCAGTGGTCTCGCTCAAGATCGCTCAAAGAATCTTATATTTCGAGGCCAGCGCCCACTTTGTACCAAATAGGATAGGGAATACCGCAATCCACCTCAAAATGCAAACTCTTTGTCAAAGCGCTGGAGATGTTTGCAGGCGCACAGAAACCTCGGCGCCGTAGTTGGCCATGGAGCTGGACATCTCGTGCTCCACTGGCTTGCCCCCCTTCAAGCAATATGTCTCACCCACTTGTTGCGTGTCATGCAAACAGCCTCACAGGCAGCTGTGAAGTACTCGGCAGAGGCCACGTTGAATGCATGACCTCTCGGGTCAATTAGCAAGGCATCCACAAGACAGCAAGACAAATCATTGCGCCTTGTCCAACAACTGCAAACGCGTGAGGCTCGCAAAGATTTCCATGCTCGCTGCAAGGCCTCCGCGTGGCGCTACATGGCCCCTAAGGCCCTAGCTCCCAAAGAGACAAGCAACGTGTCCAGCGTGTCCCGCTCAGCGCCCGGCACCCCTCCACACCACACGCATGGCTGGCCCTCGACCTGGGGGAAGCTGCGAGCTGGAATTCGACTATTCAAGCTCCAAACATCGGAGAGCATTGCCAGATATTGCCAGGCAATTCGCTGTCCGGCCTTGAGGCCTGCAATTTGTGTGTAAGGGCGGCCGTCAATGCTGGAAAGGCATTGGGTCTTGTCCTGACATCGACACAATCAGCGCAAGGCAGAAAGACGCGGAGCAAGGAAGTGACGTGCAGCTCATTAACATATTGGCAGGTCCTTGATTACACTGCATCCCTGTGTCGTTCGTGTCAAACAGTCAACGTTGCCGAACTCCCTCGCAGGTGCCTGCACGTCAGTGTGGTGCCTCTGAGACATGGCTGGGCGGCTGGCCTTGCACTGCGCGGCGGTTGCCGAGCTCCATGGAACCTGCAACGGTAAGTCCAATAAATAACAGGCAAAAGCTTAGCATCGCAGCAAAAGACAGGCAGGCTTGCCCGCGTGGTGAATGCCTCAGCTCTCATTGCTTTGCCCATCATCAATATCTTCCAACTGAGTGGCATGCCATGTTCATTCCACGCGCCAGCCAGTCATAAGCCGCACATTTGGCTGTGCTGTGGTCTGTGCAGGGCCTCGCAGAGCAGCAAGCTGGTTGCAAGACTAGTGAGACGTAATTAGTCATGAGCGCATCCAGTCAATGCAAAGACAGTAAGCTGCCAACCCTCCGCCACACCACACGCAAGGCTCGCCCTTGACATTCAGGCCCTTCTCATCAGCTTCCGAGCTCCCCAGGCCATCAACATTGCCTCAGACATTTGCTCACACAATTTGCCGCATCAGAAAAATCAGGAAAATCCTTAGCTTGATCATGGGTGAAATCGACTCTGAGCAAGCCAGCTCAAGCAGCTGAGCTTGTCCGTGAGCGCACCGCACCCAGACGCCTTGGACTGATTCAGCCAGGCAAGAAACGAAAACCAAACTCAGCGAAAAGGCTCACCGGCTGCTTCTTAGGGATCGCACAGCAGTGTACAGGCATTTCAGGTCATCCTACAAAAAAAAAATGATGGAAATCCGGAACGTGCACGGAAATGGATGCAAAGGCCACTTTTCTGTGTGCGTTTTGGGGGAAAGAAGCGGCGTGCGCACCTCCCTCGGGCGGTCCACACCAAAGGGAGCTGACACCTGCCGGGTGCCAATCTGAGGCGTGGCAGGAAAATAAGTCGCACCTTGATGGTCAGCGGGCTGTTGCACTCGCAGACCGGGGAATCTCCTTCCTGAAACTCCGCAGAGCAAGTCATCGCGGTCCTAGGGGAGCACCACTTGAGCTGTGGCTGGGAAAATTTATCTAAGATTCACGCCCCACATCGCAGCTGTGCAAATGGCCGGACCAGGCACTTTTGCAGGTAAGACCGCCTCAAGCTTGGCCACTGGAAACAGACATCTCCCCCAATGATCAAAAATGATTTCTGCAATGCGATAAGTTGCTGTTCGCCGCAACAACTGCTGAACCTTCCTACCTTGTCCCTTGCAGTAGGCATCGCAGGTCTTGAATGACGAAGCGGCCTGGCAGGCAAACTCCCTCAGTGTCTCACACATACAGAGACACGGGCACAGACGCAGACAGGAAAACGGACAGAGACAGAGACACAGAGACAGATTGACAGGCACAGACAAACACAGACAGGCAGCGACTGAACAGAGATAGACAAACTTACAGTACGGACACGCAGATTGACAAACTGACAAAACAGGCAGACAGTCGAGGCAGGACAAACTCCCACCCAACACAGCCCACGCAATGCAGCAACTCTGATCCAAGCCTGTGGGGCCACCTGAACCTTGCAAAAGCCGCAGGCTTTGCCTCAGTAAATCAGATGCAGGCGGGCACAGCCCTTGGCCACAACCAAGGTGGCAACTGACTTTGTCCCAGCTTGGAAATGGCATTCCGCAATCCACCTTGGTAAGATCAGACAATATCAAGACCAAGAAAAAAACAGCGGACCAGCGCACCACATCTATTGATTGCGCGCGATTGCGTCAAGCATGACCAGTGTGCCAAAGTCGCGCACAGGAAGCGAGAGTCCAGCATCTGCAAGGGCACTTGGAACAGCGTGGTTGACAGGCTTTCCAGCCTGGCAAAATCACAAAGAAGGTCACATGCTTTGGCTGCGTGCAAGAAAAATCCCGTCCTCGCAAGCGGCAGTGAAGTAGGAATTGGCGGCATGGTTCAGCTCGTAGGCACGTCCTGGCGAGAAGCATCAGAAAAATGGCACGACACGTGGTCGTGGCACCTGCTCCATGGAGAGCATACTCGTAGGGTTCGCAGAGGTTGCCATTGTTAGAATTGCACGGCCTAAGCGGCACTTCAACTTGAAAGTAGGACAAGGCACTTCAACTTGTTGTGACAACTGTGCGACACTTTGTGACCAACGCTCGGGGCAAGCATGAGGCTGGTGCCCTCCACCGCACCACACACAAGGCTGGCCTTCCACCTATCAGGGCTGTGGGCGATATAAGGGGCTTGTTTAGGGTTAGCTGTTTTGTTTTTCAGGGAGCGTGGGAGGGTTGGCTTAGGGTGGGATAGGGTTGGAGATGCTTCAGGGTTAGTTTGTGTTGACTCAGCGGGGTGGGTTTGGGGTTTTCTTGATGCCTCGACCGTGCCTTCAACCCAGCGATCTGCGTGTACGGGCGACCATCGAGGCTTGCAAGGCAAGTGTCTCGGTCCTGACAGTGGCCAAATTTACACTGGCCTCATGGGACACGGCCCGTCCTTGATAGAGTTGCATCCATCTTGCACTCGAGTCAGGCAGCCCACATTGCCAAAAGTGCGGGAGGGTGCCTAGCAAAAGGTACGCGGGGACATGGCATTGCGGGCACCTGTCAAAACTTAGGCCTTGCAATTGGCAACGTCCATGGATGCCACTGCCTGGCTCAAAGGCAGGCAACAACCAGACAAACCACCATCTGCCAGCCTCTCTGGATCCAAAAGCCTAACATGGATCGGTGAACTGCGCAAATGCACTCCAGTCTCTGAGATTCTGACCAAGCCCTGCCCGTTGGACAAATAGTCGTAGGCGGTGCAAAGAGCTCCAGAGTCATCGTCGGTGCAGGGCCTCTCACAACAAAACCATCAATATCAAATGCAGCATCGTCCAAACAGCAATGCAGTGCGAGCTGAGACTAAGTCGAAGACCTTCCACCGCACCACACGCAAGCCTCACCTTGAATCTTCAAGCCACGGTAGTCCACTTTGGAGCCACCATCTTTGGAGCCTTGGCTAAGCATGAAGTGACTTTCAGTCTGAGTTCATGCATGTTTCATCTGCACATCTAGGATGCACGCTCAGGCATGTCAGCTTGTCCTTGATGGCTCCGCAGCCACCTTCCTCAGAGAACCACATCATCTTCAGCGCAGGGAGTCGTGCATTGAGGAGCAGGCATAAACGTTCAAGCACTGGACTGCATCCTGTGCTTAGGCGTTGAGGCTGGTAGGTGCCAGAGGGGACCCCACTGGCGGGTCTGCTTTTGGTTTCATGAAACCTAGGTGAAAAGGGCAAGCTCGAAAAGACTGTCAGGCATGCGGTTTATTTCATGACTGCAGTTTCCATCGCCCAGTCGTGACTCCTCACTCGGACGCGGCAAAGTCATGGCAAAATCCAGATTGACCTGAGACTCCTGCGCTTCAGCGCGAAGCGGTTGCTGAAACGCAAACTGATTCCCCGTCCTTGACAGATGGCGCCTGGCACTGGCAGATGGGCATGCTCTTTTCCTCAAACACTGCAGAGCAGCTCATCTCCGACCTGGCATCTGAAAGAGATGGGCCAAAGCGGCCAAAGAGGCCAAGGCACATCAGTCTATATATATATATATGTCATATATTGTTAAGAGTATACATGCCTTTGGGTACATGCTTTGCCTAGCAGTACAAATGGGCTACATCCGCTGCCCATACATCCCAAGGCCTTGAGCCTTCTACAATTGCCAGAGAGGAAAACAGTTTGCTACAGCCGCGCTGATACACCACACAGGTCCTCCACACTAGGTTCACAGGTCATATCAAGTTTAACACATATGACCATATATATATATATATATATATATATATGGTCCCGTGTTCCGTGTTGCTACCCCCCCCCCCCCTCCCCCCATATGGTATGGTCCCCCAAGCCCCCCCCCGGGCCCGAGACCCCGAGCCCCCGGATCCTGGCACCTACGGTCCCACCCCCACCCCGTCCCCCTGAACTCGCACCCAGAAACCCCGGCACCCCCACCCCCAGGACAAGCCAACCCGCAACTAACCATAAACCAACCCTAAACTATCCCTAAACCAACCCTAAATACACCCTAAACCAAACCCTAAATTGTAGACCTCTAAACCTAAACCAACCCTAAATCAACATAAACCAACCCTAAACTAACCCTAAACCAACCCTAAACTAACCCCAAATACACCCTAAACCAATCCCTAAACAATAAACCCTAAACCTAAACCAACCCTAAACCAACCCAAATACACCCTAAACCAAACCCTAAACCGTACACCTCTAAACCTAAACCAACCCTAAACAATCCCTAAATCAACATAAATCAACCTAAATCAACCCTGAATCAACCCTGAACCAACCCTAAATACACCCTAAATATACCCTAAACCAATTCTAAACCGACCCTAAACCACCACAACCCAACCACAGGACCACAACCACAGGGGGGGGGGGGAACTTGGCTGACCCATGACCATTGGGGGGGGAGGGGGGGGGGGCTGGCAACGCTGTACCATATATATATATATATATATTTGTATGTTGGGTCTCGAAACTTGGAGCCGCACCCAAGGTCACAGCTGTTGAAGTAGCCCTTGAAGGCTTTCTCGCAAGCAAGCCCACCTGAACAGCATTTCACAGACATTCCAATTCGAATCTCTCGGCAAAGCATCAAGGCCTTGCGATTGGCAGAACTGTTCGCATGTGCGGTAAGATTCGGCTGCCTCGATGTACGCAAGCGCTCAGCACAAGTAGCGAATCTGACCAAAGCGAGCCTTCTCTGCCACCTGAGCCTGGCAGAAGCCGCACTTCTTGCCTCAAAATACAAGATTGGATGGGCCCATTGACCTTCAGATGGGCCCATTGACCTTCATTCAGTTGTGTCGCGTACGCCCGGCATGATTGGTCCAATGGATCTGGGCTGCAGGCCAACGCCCTTCCAAACCGGGTTCGGAATGCCGCAGTCCACCTTTGCTGATACGCAAGATCTCAAGCATTGCTTGCCTGCTCCAAGTCTGGTTGCGTCTGTCTTTGTACACCCAATGCTCAGCTGGATCCGCAGTTCGTTGGAAAACACTGCCGTTGGACCCTGCTTGGGCTGATGAAGATCCGTGTTCCCAAGCTGGAGCCCGCTGTACGTTTACGTTCTTTCGGCTTTAAATGCCACATTACCTCCAATAAAGTTTATTGTTGATTTTAGATTCGAAACCAGTGTTTTCCCACAAAAGCGGCGCATCAGGCGCAAGGCGCAAGCTCTGGAAGTTTTCGGGTTGGTTTCCACTCGGAAACCTCGCAAACGCTGTCCGTTTTGGAGATGCATGGCAGTTGCGCAGAAAAACGGAAGGGAGGATCTGCTGAAGGCCGCAGGTGGCACACAATGGCAGCTAGGCGAGCTCACAAAAATCGTCCAGTCAATTTACGCCCCTAAGCCAAGCATTCCACTGGGACACGTTGAAAAGGGCCGCGTCTTGAGGGCGAGTGGCTGACATGCAGCTACCACGTGCTTCCAAAACTGAGCTCGCCCTCGTGTACTGCATGTGTTTTGGTGTGCAGGCGCCGGCTTGTCAGCTTCTGACTGTGGTGTACGAGCAGCGGCTCCAGCTGGATTTCTATGTGCCTCCACTTTGAGGGCTTGCGGGCCATTCCACCCGACACCCTCAAACGTAAGAAACTGAAAAAAAGCTTCAAAGAGATCTCAAAGTTGGCAAAGCACGGTAGCTGAGCAAATTTCATGGATTCGACTTGCTGTGCAGGGGGACAATTGTTGAAACGACGCGCAAAAACATGCACATCTGTGGAAAGTGTGTGTGTGTGTGTGTGTGCGTTTTAAACAAAGACAAATGCAGACTATATAGTCCGTCTGGCGTTGCTGTGATGTGCGGCAATGGAAGTACGGATGTGTTTGACAAGCTGAGGTCGCAACTGCCTCCTCAATGCCTTTTCTTGCCATAGAGCTCGAGACAGAATGCTCCACAGGCTTGCCCGCCTTGCACAAAACTGGACAAGTTACCCTCATGCCTTACACTCCCAACCTCGCAGGCTGCCGCGAAATACAGGTCGGTTGCGTGACTGATTTCGTAGGCATGCCCTGGAGAAGCCCGCGGATGGAAAGCAAATCGCCTCTACACGAGGACCAACAAGCGCACGCCTTCTCCATTGAGCGCAAATTCGTAGGGCTCGCAAAGATTGGCATTGTTGCTGTGGCATGGCCTAACCATGGCCAAGTGCCCAGCTTCTGCATGGTACCCGGCAGGCAAAACAACTTCAGCACACCCGTGCCATCACTAAAAAATATAGGAATGCGTTTGTTGCAGGGTTTGTCGTGAGAGTACCGCAATACTTGAGCTTCCGGCACTCCTCCACACCACACGCATGGCTGACCTTCCACCTCAGGGTGCGCTCGCTCGTGCAAAGTCACTCGCGCGTGGTGCGCTTCTGAAACATCCCTTTCGCTTCATGAGCTCCAGCCTTCAGGCCAGCAACATGGGTGTAGGGGCGTCCATCCAGGCTCGAGAGGCAGGTTGCTTTGTCCTCCACTCATCCAGCAAGGCACTGCTCAATTGCAAACAAGGAATGCCAATGCACTGCTCCTTGATGGAATTGCAGCCGTTTGTTTGCTTTGTCAAGCAGTCGACGTTGCCGAACACGCGCTCCGCTGCCTGGGGACAGTCAAAATGCCTTCCACAAGTAAGCGTGTCATGATTGTTTACTGAATGCGAAACAAATCAGTTTCATGAACAAACCAGCCTTGCATGAGGCCACATCCAAGGCCGAAGAGACCTTGGTGCAGTGAAATGTGCCACGCTTTCCATACATTCCAGGTTCTTTTTGCACATGGCCGAGGGCAGTGCCACATGACGGGTGGCAAATGCCTCAGTGTCGGCCATCAGCAAAGACGAGACTGAAGAGCTGCGAGCAAGCTGCGAAGTCTGAGTGGCCCGCAAGACCTTGCCCGTTCACGAGGAAGTCACGCGGTGCGCACATCGCGTAGGGGTCATGGGAGGTGCATGCCCTCAGGAAAGCCACAGGTGCCTTTGAGGCCAAGGCTCTTCTTTCTCAAGTCAAAGATGGCACAGCTCTCATTCCTAATCGATGGTGCACATACTGAGGAACTGGCACTCCACCACACCAAACGCAGGGCTCGCCGCTGATTTTCAAACCATGGAACTCCGTGGTGTTGCTGCCGTCTTTGCTACCTCTGACGGATCTGCTGAATCCACTCAGCTTCTTGAAGTAAACTGTTGCTTGCAAATTCTGTAGCAGTCTCATACCTGAGACTCCCACTGAGGCACATCAGCTTGTCGGTGATGGCTCCGCATCCCTTCACCTTTGCACCGCTGCCCAAAGCATGGGTCCGTCTGCTGTCTATTGAAGCTCAAATGTTCAAGTTGTAAAGGTCGAATGACAATGTGCTGCCACTAAACCCTCATCCAATTCTCGGCGCCCGGCAGCGCTGTTCAGGCACTGCAGGTCTGCCTCGAAGCGTCACCAGATGAGCTCAAACGCCGAGATTGAGCCGAGGCGGAGGCTGCTGCGGGGGCCTCCACCGTGGATGCAAAGTTGGCATTGCCAGCCTGCCAAAAAAGCTGGACCAAAAGACAGTCAACGCCTTGGGAGTATCAAAAGGACCGTGCCTATTTGACTGGGATTATCCCTTACCCTTCATCTTCCTGAAATTAAATGTTTGTTTGCCCCAATCTGCAAGTCCGATTTGCGAACGGCCTTAAAATTCATCGATGGCTCGCATTCGCACACAGCGTGCTCATAGGCCTCGGCATTTGACGCGCTGTCTTCCTGTTGCTAAAAGCTGACTGCTAGGAACCCGGCCCCATACTGGTAGTCGCAGGATTTCGCTGCAGACTCCACGCAAGACTCGAGGCTTGTCATTGCCGCAGACTTGCACTTGAGGCCGCCTGCTGTCCGTTGCACTGCAAATGGCTTATCTGCTTATCTGCTTATCTGCTTATCTGCTTATCTGGACTGGGCACGGCCTTGACCGGTGCAGTATTCAGCGCAAGTCCCGAAGCTTGCCTCATGTCAAGGTCAACACTTGGAACCGAAGCATTGAAGCCAATTGAAGCCAATTGAAGCCAATTGAAGCCAATTATGACCCTTTCTAGTCCCTGATGCCTTGATGCTCGGAACCTGGACCTTGCAAAAGCCGCAGGTCTTGCCTCGCAGGCACATGGTCCAGGCAAAAAACCAGCTGAGGCCACGGTGTGCTGAGGGCGCCGCCCACCCTTTTCCAGATGGGGTTTGGATGGCCGCAGTCAACCTGCGTCACATGTTCACCTCCAAAATCTCCCAAGTCTGCAAAAATAACCAAACCTGAGGATGGCGCATGCAAATCCATACCGTGAATCTGGATGTCACTCGGCAACGCCAAAGGTGCAGGCTTGTTGTCCTTGCAAGCCCCATAAGCACCTCTCCAGTTTCAGCGACGCTGACGCTTTACAACAGTCCTTGCAATAGGCTCTCTGGTACAAGCCCAGACCTGATGCCATCGAAAAACCGCAACATGCAGCATGCGTGCCATAACCACATGTTTCTTGCAGCCAAGCCACTGTACTTTGTGTTGAATGCATGTCCTGCAACAAAGCGTGCTTCATGTCTGTAGCGAAGCACTGGAGCACACCCTGCAAGCGCCTACGCCGTTCAGAGCAAAGTCGTACGGCTCGCACAAATTGCTGGACCCGTCATTGCACGCCCTCAGCTGACTCAGCTAACTCAGCTTTGACACAAAGCGAATTTGAGGTCATGAGGTCCCAGCCCGCCGCCACACCACACACAAGGCTGACCCTTGACCTGAAGGGCGCGGTGTGTCGAGGAATGAGATCGGGTCAAGGGAACGCCTTGAAACCGGCAACCCATTCATAAGGGCGTCCCTCCCGGCTGGAGACACAATCGCTCATTGCCTGGCGAAGTGAGGCTTGCGCTATTTGATTGTGGCAAGGCGAAACTCGTCGGATGTGCCGTGATCGCGTTGCAGCCGGTGCTTGCGCTCCTCGGTGTACGGGGGGGGCCACAATGTCGCAACAAGTTGGCAGTTGTTGACCAACTGAAACATCATCTTGCAACAGCTTAGTTTAGCTGCCCTGCTCACAAAAGACCATCACACGTTCAAAGAGCTGAGCAGCGTCACCGGTGGTAAAACAATGTGGCCGTAATCATGACCATGCGGGCAGACTGCAAAGCGAGCGCATGAAACAAATAATTGACACATGACGGCGCTAACATTCTGCTGCAACCAAACTGTTGCTTGTGAAGAAAACAGCTAATGATACGTGTAGAAGGCTACAAGCACTACTGTGATTAGTCAGTGTCGTAGGAATGCCATGCGATGCCAGGATGTTTGCAGGCAAAGCGGTGGGCTATTGCGGAGTGAAGGGAATTGCTGGACCTGGAAGCTCAGCAACCCGCTCCAGTTGACCCAACATATTGTTCAGCACTCACATGCCGGGGCTGTCAACAGGTTCCTCCCTGCCTGAGGCAGCTCAGCTCGGTCTCGGCAAAGGTCGCGTCGGTCTCCTGGGTCGGATCGTCAACTTCCATTCTCGACAAGCGCACGAGTTTGCTGCAGCATGCTAAGATGGCTTCATGACACTTGGCCATCGTAGTGCTCAACGCCTGAGGCAACGAAGGACTCCAAACGCATCAACAGCGAGAATCCAGAAATGGGGTAACCAGCCAACTAATGTGCGTGCGATTCTGGAAATCAGTCCGGCTGAACGCTGGCTGAACGCTGGCTGAACGCTGAGCCCTTGACAGTGACGTGAGGGAAGACCTGCACCAAAGACTACCCTGCTTGGAATCTCAGTTCACATCCCAAAGCACCTTGCCAGCACCCCTGACCAGGTAGTCACGAGGGGCGCAAGTGAATTCGCCACCATTTGTGCAGGGCCTCAGTAGGATTTGTGCACACAGCATCACACAGCTGCATATCTGAACATCTGGGCGCTCGGCAGTCCATCGCACCACACGCAAGGCTGGCCACTGATGCCAAAACCACCAAAAGACGCGTCAGCAGAGCCATCGATGCTGCCTCGTGAGAGCACAAACCACATGCCGCGTGGAAAGCATCTCTCCCATGCCTTCCGACCCCAAGTAAGCGCCCTGCTCAAGCAGGTGAGCTTGTCCTTGATCGCCATGCATCCTCGCTCCTGCAAAAGGTCGAGAGTGGTTGCCTGTCATGCCGACCGGAGACTCATAAGGCCTGCTTCGTCAGGCAGCCCATGCTTGCCTGTGGTTCGGATCACTCTTGGCATGTGCTTGTTAAGCATGACGTAGCTTTGAAAAAATGTTGAAAGGAATGCCCCACGGACCAACTCGCAAGGGGCACCGCGTTTGGTTCAGGAAGATCGACCGCCGTGGAAACGACGCCAGCGTGGGCTTTCACCACTCCGCCCTGGCAAAGTGCTCAAGCGCCCAGGCCAAGCTCGCAAGCTCGCAAGCATTAGGATCGAATCTACAAAAGGCGGCAAAGAATCAGGAAGATCAGGAAGCAGAGAAAAGGAGAGAAAACAGGAAATCCTTCAGGCGGCCTCGCACTGCGCCACCATGGGTTCCTTGACGTAACCTAGAAGCGCGCATGTCGCTGCTTGCAGCTGCAGTCAAGTTGGTTTTCAGGATACGCACTTGTCGCAAAGGCATAGCCCTCACCTCAGCAGCTTTGCCTACCTCTACCTTGTGATGCGCAGCCCAGGAATTGACTGCATTCCCCATTTTGCAATTGAGACACCATTCATCTGCAAGTCGTAAGCTTCGCATGTGGCGCCTTCGCTGTTGCAAAGCCTGGGCTTTGCAGTGCAGCAGGTCGCCAACTGTGTTTGCTCTGCAAGCTTGAGCTCAACAAGTAAGCTGCAAACCCGCCCTTGCACCAAACACACGGCTGCCCTGCCACCTGACACGAGAATATGCATGAATAATATTAGGTGAGCCCAACCATGGCACAACCAGCACTTTATACAAATACTATCTCTCTATAAAAACGGATAGCATGGCCTAGCCTGGCGGCCAAAGATAGTCGCGTTGGGGCGGCCGTCGGCACTTGCCAAGCAGGTGAACGCATCTGTCAGCCTAGTGCTTGTGAAATGCAGTGTTGGTCACCCAGGATCACGCTACACAGGGTTGGTTGATCTCTCCCCAAACGAAACAAAAATTGGAGCCTGTGGCAGTCTCGGTTGATTGGCATTCAGCGCCGTAAAGCGCTCAGGTCGAAGCGAGGAGCAACCCTCGTTTGCCTTTGAGAGGCAACCATAGTCCTTGGCTTCTAGGCTTTCAGCAATTTCAGAAACATGTCGAGATAATGAGACAAGCACCAACGCCGTAGATGCTTTCATTTGGGAATCCTGACAGGTCACTCAAGGAAAGCTTGTCCGAATCTGTACAGTAGCATGTTCCATCAAGCATCCGGATATATGGCCTTGATTGCTGCCACCTTGAAGGAGTGCTTCGCATAGAAAACGTTGTGGTGCTGCGCAAACCGAGAGATTGCTGTCAAGTCGAAGTGCGCGCGCGGAAGCTTGGAGCCACACCGGGCCCTGTCCATTCATCAGGAGGTCGAAGGGCATGCAGAGCGACACGCCCGCATCAGTGCAAGGCCTCGATTTCACCGCAAGAGTGGCACTCTAGCGGCACGGTCAGCCCAACTCAGTCCCAAACACGCCCCCGCACCACACGCAAGCTTCACCATGAACCTAGCAAAGGGAAAAGGCACACATCCAGGCATCTCCACTTAGGCCGATTTCCCGCCTTGTACGGAGTATAGCCCCATGTGGCGTTCTGGCTGTTGTCTTTGCTGCTCAAACATGTTGCCATGTCCTGCCGAGGAGCTCACTCTTTTTCATATTAACGAGTGCTAGCAACAGAAATGGGGGCAACAGGTGAACTGACACACGAGGCATCATTGAAACGAGCAAAAAACATAGGGCACAGCCGCCTAAGGTCCATTGGCATCATCCAATTAAACCTGTAATGGAGGGCTTCTAAATGACCTCTCGCCATCTAAATGTCCATCCATTCCCACTTTGCGAAGTGGCTGCTTTTGCGTGCTCATGAGCCTGTTCATATACAATCGTGTACGTTCAGTCCTGAAGGGACGCGCAGCCAGCAGCAACTGGAGAGAGCTTGGCAAGTTGGGCCTCGTCCAACAGAAAGCATCCAGTACTGAGCTGCAACTACTCGAAAGCCAAGACCAAGCAATCCACTAACTTGGCACAGTTCCGGTCTTGCCTCAGTGGGCCGTTCAGCCTTCCACCAGTTGTCATCCTGCTCAAAGACCGTGGCCTTGCCATCCTGGCAAATGACGAGCACGGCGCTAGAATTGTCCGACTATCTGCATTAGCTCACCCGTGTTGTCCGACTCGCCTTGCAGGACGGTGTCTCGAAGGTTCCTTGAGCTGTAAAGCTGTCGAAGCCGTGCTCCTGCATGCAAGCTCGGACCCATTGAGAGACCGACCTGCTGAGCTTTCCTTGCCCTGCCCACGCAGCAGGAAGTCGAAAGGCTCGCACATGTTCAAGCTTCCCGTGCGGCAAAGCCTTGCTCATAGCATATTTTGTGCTTCCATATTGTGTCACCAGTCTATGCTGAATGAGCAATTGACGCTGAGTCTTGAACCCTCCGCCACACCAAACACATGGCTCATTCTGAACCTGTCCAATTGCTGTTCATGCTCACATAATGATTAGCATCACCAAACCATAGACCGTGCCTGCAAACCGAAGACGTGGTCGGTCTCGCTGCCGTCTTTGCTGCTGAGGCAGGTGTAGCGGTCCTAGACCGTTTCCAACCCGTCCCTTCCAAACTCGAAACGGGCCAATCGTCCTTGAGCGCTCCGCACCCCTGAGGCGCAGCTCGAAGGCAGCTGGCATCCTGAGATTTCTTCAGCTCGAACTGACTCGAACTGGCCAAATTAGCTGCGCCTGGGGCTTCACCATAGCCAGCTTGGCCTCTTTATCCTTGCAGGCATTTTGCACCTTCCGGTCCTTTCGTGCGAACCTAGCCCCACTCGTCTCCTGGTCCTCTCTTACAAAGCCTCAGCAAGGGAAGCAAGCGGCAAAGAAACTCAGAAAATACTGGAGTCGCGACAGTCGAATCCATCTTTCGCCGTCGAGAAAAGGATGTCTCCGTACCAAACCTAGCAAATGCAAGTGATTTGACTTGACGCTGCAAGTGGCAGTTTCCCTTCCAGCCTCGCAGAATTTGCCCTCAGCATGGTACTCGATGCCGTTGCAGGCTCCAGTGCACAATGCCTGCAGTGCGGAATTGACTACAGCACCAACAAATACGGCAGCAAAAACGGATTCAGTTCCGATCTTTGCACTGCTCCAAACTTTCAGCGGTCCTGGCCAGACCGATTGTTGCCAACTCCAAGTATCTGTGTGCAAAGTCACAGCGGTCCAAAGGTTGTACTGGCGAGTCATATGCCTCGGCTCATCTCAAAACAACAGTGTACTAGTACACTAGTACACAAGTACACAGGCGCACAACAGAACGCTTACATAGACGCAAAAGTATCAAGTTATTTCTTGCAAAATCAAAGCTGGGCTAGGCGACGCTGCAAACCTTCACAACATGCGTTGTGCATCGTACAAATAAGAGGCCGACCCTGTCTGCGTCTGTGTGACTCCGCGGCAAGCACGATTCACGCCCCCATCCATGGGCAGCAAGCTGACCATATTCCAGGGCATGTGCGCCTTGAAGATTTCTTTGAGGCTTGGACAATGCATGCCGCACTGATGCCAGAAGTCAAACAAATCCAATGAAAAGCTAACATCGGCTCTTGCTGATTCTCTTGTGCCAGCCATTGCCAGCCCCATGTCTCACTTTGTCTCCTCACTCTAAGTCTTGCACACGGGCGGCAGTCTCCGAGTTGGCTTCTGTGGACGCTGGAGGTTTCACAGTCGCGATGGTTGTCGCAATGTTCGTGCCAGCCTCCGGCACACCACAGGCACGACTAAACTCGGGCGACATGCGACGCCTTGCAACTGGCAACAGTGAAGTCACCTCGTGGCAATCGTGTAAACTAGACATGTTATGATATGTTTCCGAATGCTTCCTTGCGCCAATCACACATCTCAGAAAGCCAGGCCCCGACTTGGGTTTTCCATCTTCCGCGTCCAATCATCGACTCGCCTTCCGTCCAATCAGCCCTGGTTGATACATTTTTGATCGTGCTGAGGACTCAGCGCGCAGATTCCGCGTTTGTGCCAAGCACAAGGTTTGCCTGCCGACGGGGTTTTTTGGCACCGCCGCTGCTTTATGCGTTTGTGCCTAGTCGGATAGCACCAAAAAAGTCATAGGCCATACCGTCACGACTGTTAACCTTAACATTAGAACGCGATTGAGCATTGCCAGCGGGCAAAAAGCTGAAGCGGTAAGGCTCGGGCACATAGCGTTTCATCCTTGATGCTTTCGCAGCCGTCTCCCTGCATGTCAAATGAGTTTTCGCCCTACCGAAGGTTGCAATCCAGCACGAAGCCAACCTGCCACAGCAAGCAGGAAGTTGCGTTGTCGTCGACAATATAACCATGTGCTGCTTCTGCGAAAAGAAGCAGACATGCAAGCACCTCAATCAGAAGGTTAAGCGCGATGGCATCAGGACTTCTTATTCTCACCAAGACTTCTTCGATTTGTTCAAGACTGGCTACAGGCCAAGGATGTCGCTCTGTCATGTCGCATGGTCATGTCATGCTATGGTCTGCTCTTGCAATCAGCCCGTGGCATGTGGCGAAGCACGTCGAGACATTGCCCGCGGCTTGCTCGTGGCGACCTCCCGTGTCACAACTTAGACTCGAGTCGTCACGAGTCGTCGTGAATCAGCGGCACCTTGATCAGTTCAGTGGAAAGGATCCTACAAGTATGCTTTTTTAGAGCCAAGCTTGAGGGCTGCACGGACAAGCACACACGTGTCAATGCACTGGGCACCCAAAACTCTTTGCTTAAACTTTGGATGCAAACAAAACGTATATAATATAGTACAATAATCGCTTGTGTCGCCTCAATACCTCGTGGTCTTCCTCTTCCAAGTCCTTGTTTCAAGTTCAGACTCTTCATAGCAACGAGGGGTTCAAGGTTGTGCCACGTTTTGCTTGTTCTGCAGCTTCCCCAAAGCTTGCTAGTTGGCTCCGCGAAGTTGTGGCCACAACAACTTCCAGAACAAAATAAGTTGTGTCGAACTTCTTTTTCTTCTTCGAACATTAAAAAAAGCGAGCAAAGCTTAAACGAAATCCTAGCAACCAGGAGTGTCCCGGCCAAAAGAACACCGCAAAATAAGTCAACGAGCACAGAATCCGGAAAAACTTCTTGGCGTAAGGGGAAGCGGACCTGACACTTGAGAGGGTACAAGCGTACACATTCCGTATACTGGACTGACTTTTATTTTGCTGGAAACCGCAGGTACGGACGCAAGAAATTCACGCAAACTCATCAAGGTCATAGCAAGTGATGCACAGCTGTCAACTCCTTTTCGTTAAGGCATGTTGCACTGCTCCTAGCTTGAACCCAAACATGAACCCCCAAAAGAACAAAGCAAGTCCGAAGCGGCCGCAGTTCTTTTTACCGGGATTGCTGAAAGTAGCACTGCTTCCAGGGCACCGGTGCGCCTGGAAGAGGAGGTGCGTTGACCCCCCGTGAAACTAAAACGGGCAAGACAATGCGTGTCCTTGCAAGTGAATGCAGTGCTTGCAGGGCGTGGCATGCGTGCCCGCGCCCAAGGTCCGGAGACTGAATGGTCCGGAGACCAGAGTTGGTCCGGAGACCTGGTCCGGAGACCAAGAGGTCCGGAGACCACCAACGAAAGTGCAGAGCGTCTGCGACCTATACTTGCAGAGCCTTGTATAAGGCAGTGCAGGGTGGGTGGGTGGGTTTCAAATGAAACCGCAGGTTTGGGTCAAGGCTAGGAGCAAAACGGCCACCGCGTAGTTCGATTCACAACATGCCCTAAACACAAGGGAAAAGAAACCCTAAGCGTTAAGGCATGTTGCACTGCTCCTAGCTTGAACCCAAACATGAACCCCCAAAAGAACAAAGCAAGTCCGAAGCGGCCGCAGTTCTTTTTACCGGGATTGCTGAAAGTAGCACTGCTTCCAGGGCACCGGTGCACCTGGAACAGGAGGTGCGTTGACCCCCCCTTCAGTGTTTCAGGCAACCCCGGTATAAGCGAGCCAGCTGGGCCGCCGGCCTCATCACCCGCCCTTCAGAGTGGGGTTGTACCTGGCAGGGCAAATGTCCGCGTGACAATGCGCGCTTGCGGCTGAGCAGCCTGTTGCTCAGGGTCTGCACTGTTTTGTTTTTGGTCAGAGCGGCTTGATGTAAGCGGCTGGCTGACGCAGCCAGTTGTTCTGGCTGACAGGGCGAAGACGGCCATTTGGTCGCAATGCATGTTGGGATGCAAATAAGGCTGGCTAAGCAGTGCTGGAGGCAGCTGCCAAGTGTTCCGGGCGCCAGGGCGCATCCATCGGACACAGCTGAATGCCTCGGCCTGACATTGCTAGGCCCGCAGGGCTGAAGCGTATGCGACTTTCAGGGCGATGGCTGAATCGGGCCAACCGACCTCTGCTGAGATCGTCTGCCCAATCATTGCACCTTCCTGGAACGTGCGTCGGCTGCAGCAGCACATTGTGAGCGTGAGCCCAGAAGGCTGTTAACTGCACGAAGAGTTGCAACGGCCAGGAGGTCGTGAACAACTTGTTAAGGCTTGCTTCCGTTGCGGAATTGTCTGTGCCTGAAGGCATGCTGAACGAGTAGCGCCCACCACCAATGTGGCTGTGGGTTGCTTGCAGTAGTGCTAACTGTGCCAGCGTCTCGAAACATGCGATGTACCGCTGTCCAGGCTTGACAAGGCAAGGCCGGAGTGTGAACGAGCGCTATGCCAGTGATGCAAAACAAATTTCCGACTGATGGCCAAGTGTGAATGCAACGGTATTATCATGCGCCGGTATAAAAAGAAAAAACAGGGCCTGGAGAGCAGGGCTTATGAAGGTCCCGGAGGAGCCTTAGTTGCCAAAGGCTCGTGGTGCCAAGGCAGCAACCCCGGAGGGAAGCCATTCAAGAGCGGACTCAAGAATGCATGACCGGGGTCATGACTGATAAGCCTGATCGCAGGGCTTGTCAAGGTCCCGGATGAGCCTCAATTGGCCAAGGCTGCAGCCCCGCAAGGCTGTGATTCAACAGCGGACTCAAGAATGCATGACTGAGGTCATGACTGAAGGCATTGCGCCTTGTGGAGGTCCCGGAGGAGCCTCAATTGCCAAGGCATCCTCGCAGGGCTGCGATTCAAGAGCGGGCTCAAGAATGCATGACTGAAGTCACGACTGAAGGCATTGCGCCTTGTGGAGGTCCCGGAGGAGCCTCAATTGCCAAGGCACGCTGTGCCAAGGCAGCAACCCCGCAGGGTTGCGATTCAAGAGCGGACTCAAGAATGCATGACTGCGGTCATGACTGAAGGCATTGCGCCTTGTGGAGGTCCCGAAGGAGCCTCAATTGCCAAGGCACGCTGTGCCAAGGCGGCAACCCCGAAAAGCTGCGATTCAAGAGCGGACTCAAGAATGCATGACTGAGGTCATGAGCGAAGGCATTGCACCTTGAGAAGGTCCCGGAGGAGCCTCAATTGCCAAGGCGCGCTGTGCAGGCAGCAGCGAGACCTCGACGTGACGCAGGCTTCGAGGCGCTGAAGGGCTGAAGGCCGACGTGGGCCGGCAGGTGCAGGCGCCCCGGCCACGGGCGCTGGGGAAGTCAGCTGCGGAGGGGCCGAACGACCGGCTGCAGGCGGACCTCCTCGACTTCAGCCAGAACACGCGGGGGAAGACGAAGCACGGCCTGGTGATCATGGACGTCTTCACCCGGGAGGCTGCTGTGGAGCCTCTACAGAACAAGAACGCTGAAGCGGTCGGCCGGGCCACCAAGCGGGCGGCCCGGGAGCTGGCGGGGGACGACGAGAACTTCGTGGTCACGACGAACGAGTTCGCGGGAGCTGCCCGGTGTGGCGGTGCACCGCACCAAGCGACCGGAGGACCGCAACGCCATGGCGGTGGTGGACCGGGGCATCCAGACCCTCAAGAAGGACCTGGCTACCAGGGTGGCGCGCAAGGGCGGGCAGTGGAGCGACCACTTCAAGCAGGTCGCGTCGGCCTACAACGCGCGGCCCCGCGAGACGGTGCACGGCGCCCCGGAAGACGTGGAGAAGCAGCCGGCCACAGAGTTCAGGGTCTTCCGAGCACCGACGAACGCGGCGAGGAGCTACGGCGACGTGCAGCAGCTGCGGGCCGTGGACTCCATGACCGTCCGGAGCACGGAGGGCCGGGAGACCCTGCTGAAGCTGGCGCTGCCGGCGCCCCAGGGCAGCGGCAACGCGGCGGCGCGGCTGACAAGGCGCGGCAGGCCAGCTGCTGTGAGGCAGCTCGACGACTTCCTGGAAGAGCCTAGAAGGCCGAGGACCCTCGATTAGGTACGGTTGATAAGAGACATTCTCTTGAGCCACACATCTCAAAGCCTTTTAGGATTTGGGCTGCTCCAGCAAGACCGGCATCTTGAGCCACACTCTCGAAGCCTTTTAGGGTTTGGGCTGCGTCACCCAGCAAGATTCGCATCTTGAGCCTAGCCTACGCCGCGCAATTGGGTGGGAACCCCAAAAGAACAGCCGCAGTGCGGTTTGGGAGAAAAAGACGCGCAAACCCTAGATTATTGACGGGGAGGGAACACATGCACGCGCACACAATCTCTCGCAGAAGACATGAGTGCTCACAAGATCACCGTCCAACGAAACACGCGTCGGCCTTTTGAACACGTCGGTGAACATCTGACGCCCGCTTGTGAGATATCCTGCAAGATGTCGGGACACTCAGCTCATGTACTACACGTCAAGTCATCCGTGCTTCCAAAGGCTGGGGCCGTCATCTGCCTCACGGACAAAACGCAAAAGGCAAGACACACCCCAGTCCCCTCCGCACGTCAAGCAACTCACAAAGCTTTGGGCATCGGACTTCCACTGTTCGTCGGGCAACGCTGGCGGCTGAGCCAAACAGGATTCACCTACAGCTCTTCCGCCAAAGGCCCATACTGACCATCGCGTGGCTAGGCATCTGTACTGTACATGGAGCTATAACAGCGGGTCCTGTAGCTCATGTGTCTGCTTAGCCGCAAAGTCGCAGGCATCATGCAGCCGAGACAAACGAGTGGCTCGTTGAAGTCTCAGCCGGTCAAAAAGAACTACTGTGGCTTCGGGCGCTTAAAGCAGCGGCAGTGGCTTCGCGTGCTTAAAGCAGCGATTCTCACCCACGAACTTGGCCACGCACTTCCCGCAGTGCTTGTGTCGCGCCGTGACGCTCCGGAAGTGCTTCAGCGCCTCCGTGCGGCCGAAGCTCTTGTTCCTGCAGAAGCTCAGCCAGTCCTCCATGACCGTGGCGTAATTGGAGCACTCCACGGCCGGCTTGCTGGCGATCTCCCAGCTCTCCACACACGAAGTCGGCCGACTCATTGCCCATGTAGGCCCATGTGGCTTGGGCAACGGACACAGGCCAGGGCCGCACAACCGTGTCGCTCACCTTGTGAAACACGCTGATCACTTTCAGCAGCACGTACAACAACCCAGGGCAGTTCGCTTGGAGCTTCTCCCTCTCCTTGTGGTCAACCAGAACTTCCCTCTCATGTGGCGCACGGGGTTGAGCACAAAAGCGAAATGGCCATTCGGCGACCACAAGCCTCCTATCCACTCCTCCATCCATCTCCAAATTCAATCGGGAGTTGACGCACATGATGAGACCAAATTGGGTCCCAAAGGACACCAAATCGCTGAACAGGTTCCTGGCTCGGACGACCGTCCTCTCCGAGTAGGCTTTCAAGGTGTCTGGGTGCACCCTCACGGAGGCGCTCATCTCCGGGAAGGCCAGCAAACGGGCGCCGCGGAGTTCCATGTGGGCCGGGGTGGCCTGCTGGCTGTTGAACCGGCGAGTGAGCATGTCCGATTCAGTCACGACGCTGCCGTAGGAGCCGAAGACGGCCTTGAGTTGATCGACCCACCATGACTTCCCGTTCTTGCCGTCACCCAACGGTGCGCTGCGCTCTTCAAGAGGAAGAGGGTGGTGGACATATTCTCCCAGCAGGAGTACAGCACCCGCACGGCCTCCAAGGAGGGGTGGTCAAACACCCGCAGCAGCTTGTCTTTGAGTCGTACTCCGCCACCTCCTGCAGGACGCCCTCCAGGTTGAGCTCGTCCAGGACTGCAAAGAGTTCCCGGGGGTAGGGGATCCCCAGGCTCTTTCCTTGTTCGCCGGCGTGACGGTCATGTTGATCGTGTTGATCAAGAAGCCATCGCTCGTCATCACCAGTAGTCCTCCCCATCCAACCTGCTCTGGAAGCTCCGGTCATACAAGGCCCGGCCGACAACGCTCCGCATGGCTTCCCGCCTGTACATTGAGGCTGGGGGAAGACCCTTCCACGTCTCCGGCAGGCACTTGAAGAGCACCTGAGCCGAGTACTCCGCCAGAAGCTCATCCGCGCGCGCCGGGTTCTCCAGCTGCCATTGCCTGCTCTCTGGGCAAAAGTAGGCCGTCTCCATGTGCTGATTGGAGCAGCTGAAGACCTTGAAGCACTCACGCACCAATCTGCCATCCTTGAGGATGTGGTGGGGCAAAATTGAAGCGACCAGACGGTCGATTCCCTCCACGCCCTTGCTCAAGTAGGCGCGGACCAGCCGCCGGTCCTGCAAAGTCACAAAGAAGCAAAAGCGACGCAACAAAATGGACCAAAAAAAGGTTCGGGTAACCAAGGTCTGGACAAAGGTTTGGGCAAGGGTAACCCGCGCCTGCTCGACTCGAAACCAATCCTCATCTCTTGTCTCCCAATCCAGATCCGGGTGGCGCCGGCGGTACTCGCTCATGATCTCATCCAGCGACCTGTAGGGCTTGTGCTTCATAGGAAACCCGACCTTCTTTTCGAGCTGCTCGACCAACGCCTCCTGCTGTTCTGGACGGCAGGCAAACGCGACTCCGTCATACTCCAGGCCGCACACCCTGGCGGTGGTCGCCTCTGTCATCTTTTCCGTTGTCTCCCTCTCCTGCACATGGCTGTCGGTAAATAACATTTCTGTGACACCAACCCTTTGGCCGACTCGTGGTTGATTCCTACTAGTCGGGGGAAACAACACAAAAGGGCTGTTTTCGAAAACCACCATGCTCCTGTATCTCGTGGAGAAGCTCCAAGAGCTGGCCCTTCCAGTTGCCTCCCTGCGCCGCCAGCTCCGCGGACAGCTCCGGGTAAGCCTGCGTATCGCGCTGTGTGATCGCCCGGATCTCATGCATGAGCTCAGACACGAAGTGCGGGAGCTTCTGGAGCTGGTGCTTCTGCATGAAGGTCTCCAAATGACACATGCCAGCCCCATTCAGGATGCCACTGAAAAAGCGCTGCGCCTCCTCGCAGTCACCGACGACCGCATAACAAGCCTCACGGTCCTGCGTCAAGCGGCGGACCTGGACAGCATCTGGGTGCCGCTGTATCAGGGAGAGAACACCTGGTCCACGTCACAGATCGGCAATCCTGAGTGGCGTTGTAGGAGCTGATGTGCATGTCCACAAGCCGGCGCACCACCAAAGGCAGCTCCAAGAACCGGCCATGGATCTCCTCGCTGATCGTCCCCTTCTTCTGGGCTTCCTCATAGTCCTTCAAACAGATGCCCGACACAAGCCGGGCGTTGCACCCGTGTGGTCGACCAGTGTCACGGTAGACTGTGAGGACCATGCCAATGCCCTCGGTGTCCCTGGTCAGCATGTCCGCCACTTGCTCCCGCAAACCCAGCTGACCAAAGGCGCGAAGGCTGCCCGCCATCTCAAGGGCCTCCACGTTGATTGGCTCCATCATCCACCTGTCCACGCAGAGCGACTTCATCCGCATCTTCTCCGGCAGGTGGCGGACAGACACTTCCTCAAACCGCCTTGAACCTTGAAGGACCGGCAAGGCCCCGCCGAAGTCATCCTCCACCACGGCATCATCGGCCTTGTCCTTCTCCACGGTCTCCTTGGTCTCCACGGCCGCCACATCCTCGGTCTCCTCGGACTCCTCAACCTCCTCGGCCTCCGCGGCCTCCTTGGTCTCCACGGCCTCCACGGCCTCCACGGCCTCCACGGCCACCACAGCCTCGGCCTTGCCCTCAGCCTCGTCCAGCAAACTCCGCAGCTCAGCCACCGTGGTCTTGCTCGCAAAAGCAATGCCGTGGTCACGCAACACCTGCTGCAGGTCTGCCTTCCTCACAGTGCCCGCCTCCAAACGCGGCCTCTTGGCCTCCTGGACGGGGGAGGAACATGTCCAGTCACGAGGTTCCTCCGGTCCTGCACCGATGCTTCCTGCATCAACACCTCCTTGCGCTCAGCGTCAGTCTGGCTCTGCGCCTGTGCCATCACTGTCTCCGCCACCTCCTGGGTGCTTGGATCGCCCCCCACCTCCTCCTCGCCCAGGTACCCCGCCACTTCAGTGAAGGATGGCATGGCTTAGTGCTGAGACGGCAGATCTCTTCTCGGCCAAAATAGGCTTTGACCGGGGACATCACAGATCACGGCACACAAGCATGCGAGTCATCCAAACTCGTGACACGAATGCAACTGGCAACACGCAAGTCCGAGCCATCTATGGCCTTCATCCACAGGCCAGGTGTCGGATGAGTCGCGGCCTGGGCGGGTAGAGGTCACGACGGTCCCTATGGTCCCTAGAGTTTCTGGGGTCCCTGGGGTTGTCTGCCAGGTGTGAACCCCAGGGACCTGGGTTGGGCGAGGCAGTACTTAAAAAAACCGAACCCCCCCCAAGACCCGTTGGGCGAGGCAGTACTTAAAAAAAACGAACCCCCCCAAGGCCCGTTGGGCGAACCCGTACTTAAAAAACCCAGCCCCCTCCCAGACCCGTTGGGCGAGGCAGTACTTAAAAAACCGCACCCCCCCCAAGACCCGCTGGGCGAGGCAGTACTTAAAAAAACCAGCCCCCTCCCAGACCCATTGGGCGAACCAGTACTTTAAAAAAAAAAGACGAATCCCCCCATACCTGTTGGGCAAACCAGTACTCAAAAAAAACCCAGCCCCCCTCCCAGACCCGTTGGGCGAACCAGTACGAAAAAACGAATCGGGTGCAACGCACCTCTTTTGGGAAGCCTCCCAAACCACGTCCTTAGAGACCCCAAGCACAAGACGCAAACACCCGAGGTCCCTAGGGTCCCTGGACCAAGTCCCACATGACCAGGGTCCCTAGGGTCCCTGGACCAAGTCCCACATGACCAGGGTCCCTCAAGTCTCTGGAGTCCCTACATTCCCTGGCATCCCTAGGGGTCCCTAGGGTCCCTGGGGTCCCTAAGCTCCCTGAACCAAGCCCGCATGTTTTTTGCCACTTTTTTTTGCCACCAAAAATTCTCGGGACCCAGGGACCCCAGAGAATCTAGGGACCCCAGGGACCCCAGGGACCCTGAGGACCTTGGGTCATGTGCAACTTGGTCCAGGGAGCCCAGGGACCCTAGGGACCTTAAAAACCCTGGTCATGTGGGACTTGGTCCAAAGACCCTAAAAAAACCTCAGAAACTGGTCCACAACCCAGAGATGCTGGGGACCTTACAGACCCGGGCCATGTGGGACTTGGTCCAGGGACCCTAGGGACCCTAGGGACCCTAGGGACCTTACCTTAGGGGACTTGGTCCAGGGACCCAGGGACCCAGGGACGCCAGAAACCTGGGTTGGGCGAGGCAGTACTTAAAAACCCCGAACCCCCCAAGACCTTGGGCGAACCCGTACTCAAAACAAAACCCAGCCCCCTCCCAGACCCGTTGGGTGAACCAGCACGGAAAAAACAAAACCCTCCAGAACCAGTACTCAAAACAAAACCCAGCCCCCTCCCAGACCCGTTGGGTGAACCAGTACTTTAAAAAAACCAACCCCCTCCCAGACCCGTTGGGCGAACCAGTACTTAAAAAAAAAAAGAATCCCCCCAGACCCGTTGGGCAAGTCAGTACAAAAAAAAAAGGAAGCCCCCCCAACCCGTTGGGCGAACCAGTACTTAAAAAACGAATCCCCCCAGACGGATCCCTCCCCATGTCTGAGGTGTGAAGTGGCATACAGGAATGAAAATCCGAAAACGACAGAAAGTAAGGGAGGGGTGAGCACCGCTGGGGCTCGGAAAAAAAAGCAGCCTCCGGGAACCCTGGAAACGAAAAAGCTCAGAAAATTTGGGCGCGGCATTACGCCCTAAAAAAGACATCACCAGCGCGCCAGTCCCTCAGGGCCCTGGCCAGTCGATGTAAAGGTTCCCCAGGAAAATAGTCTTGGACGGGAACAGGTCGACCACCTGCAATCCAGCAAACTTCAAACACCCGTCCAACCTCAAGAGAAACGGTGTCCCTCGCAAATGCAAGCCGGGGCCACTTCCAAACAAAAAAAACGCAGTCCACTCAAGGCCCAGGCAGCTGATTTTGAGGTCGAGCAGAGCCTAGCACGGGTGGCGGCGAAACAAGGAAAAACACTCCACATGGCCTCACCAAGTCGGGGCCAAACCTTGCTCGAAGGCGAGTCCAGCCGTGGCACAAACTGTGGATCCACCTGCGAGTGACCAACAAAGTGGCAAAAGACAGCTCCAGGGGCCGCACCACAAGAAGACCTGCGGGTCGAGCAAAGCCTGGCATGGGAGGTGGGAAAGCAAGGAAAAAACATTGTAAACCCAGCGTGGCCTCACCAAGGCGGAATGACGAGCTGCACCAAACCTGGATCAGTGTTTGAAGGAAACCCATCCACCTATCAACATTGACAGCACGGACAATAAAGGCCCGGGCAAAACGCGACTTGCACCCACGCCCCCCGCCCCGGATCAAGAAGAAATGCCCGAAAAGGCTGCAGCAAGCTTCGCCTTCACAAGGCTCAAGTCCAACCACGACCGACAACGTGAAAACCGTGAGGCGAGCCCGGTAACCCGTCATGCAAAATGGACAAAAATACGTCTTTTCCGGCTGGGCACTTTCACTTCAGCGGCCGACATTCTTGACATCCCCGCCCAAAAAAGCGACTTGCTGGGCGAGGAAGATGCCCGTGCATGGCACCAGGGGCACCACGGGGTCCGAGGCTTGCTTGCTGGTGTACTCAGGCGTGGGGAAAAGCTTGATCTTCCCCATCGTTACGCAAGTTCCGGAAGCCGGCCAGCGAGTCCGGGACCTGAAAGTAAAAGCCGGCATGCAGCGTGCACCTTTGGAAGACACGTTGAATGTAACACTGCCGCAACAGACAAGGCCGGAACCTCACAGAAAGGTCAGCGATCTGCAATCTTCCGAACTCAAACTTGCTTAGAATGGGCGCATGTTCCTTGCAGGAATTGAACCCGCGACCTATGGCGCATAGGACCATCGCTCTAACCACTGAGCTAAAGGAACTTGGCAATGCCAGCACCATAGCACGGCACATTTTTGTTTGCCAGAACTCACTTTTGTATATGCACGAGCGCAGCGTTTTTTGACAATCACCTCAAAACCTGCGCCCTGCCATAGAATCCGTCCCTCCGGAGGATTGAACGAGGTTTGTATATGCAAGAGCGCAGCGTTTTGTGACACTTGGCCCAAAAACGCGCGCCCTGCTATAGAGTCCATCCTTGGGAAATTTGAACAGGGTTTGTATAGCTGGGCGACGTGTCAGTGCTGCACTCGCCTTCTTCGGTTTGCGGGCGGCCCGGGGCGGGCCAGCACTACTACTCCCACCTGGGCCTGCGGCCCCCAGCAAGGACTTTGACTACAACCAGCCCCTCATCCGCGAGGGGCCCACGATTACATCCGGGCAGAAGAAGCTTGTGCGCTCCCTGCAGGGCGGAGAGCACCGGCTGACCAAGCTGGGCAAGGGCTTCTTCCACGACAAGTACTACGAGTACCTGGTCCCACGTGCCGGTGATCATCCGGGGCAGGCGGCGCAGCGGGCGGAACGCCGGCGCGGGCTACAAGCGCAGGGACTGGCTGCCGGTGAATGAGCTGAGAGGCTCCTAGCACTCGTCCGTCCAGCATTTGACCTCGTCCTGCGAAGGATTCGAAGTCTAAAACGCTGCGTGCAGGCGTATGGCTGCAAAATAGTGACCCCTAGATACGCTTGCAATTTGGCTCCAGGTTGCATTTCAAGCGAGCCAACCTTTGCAGGGCTAAGAAAAAACAAAAAAAAAAGAAAAAAGGGGTCCCAAAAAAAGGGGTCCCCGAAAAAAAGGGAAAAGGGGTTTCCTTTGGCAAAGGTTGACATCGCTTGAAATGCAACCTGGAGCCAAATTGCGGCGCATATCTAGGGGTCATTATTTTGCAGCCACACGCCTACACGCAGCGTTTTAGACTTCGAATCCTTCGCAGGACGAGGTCAAATGCTGGACGGACGAGTGCTAGGAGCCTCTCAGGTAGAATAGAATCCATTTGGGAAACGCCCTCTAAAGAGAGAGCTAGGGTTGTCCGCAGTGGGGGATTCTACCTCCCACTGCGGACAACGCGGATAACCCGATTTGCGGCGGCACGGTGCCGCGTGTACGCCAAGCCGCTGAACCCCCACAGTCTCCGGGCTCCTTGCTATATGTGCTATATGTGCTATATCTTACACGCCAAGCCGCGGAACCTCCACTCTCCCCCGGGTCCTTGCTATATGTGCTATATGTGCTATATCTTACACGCCAAGCCGCCGAACCCCCACTCTCCCCCAGCTCCTTGCTATATGTACTATATGTGCTATATATTCTGTACGCGCGAAATCTGTACTATATGTGCTATATAGGGCCATATAGCACATAAAGCACATATAGCAAGGAACCCGGGGAGAGTGGATGTTCAGTGGCTTGCCTTGTGAGATATAGCACATATAGCACATATAGCATGGAACCCGGGAGAGTGGATGTTCAGTGGCTTGCCTTGTGAGATATAGCACATATAGCACATATAGCATGGAACCCGGGAGAGTGGATGTTCAGTGGCTTGCCTTGTGAGATATAGCACATATAGCACATATAGCAAGGAACCCGGGGAGAGTGGATGTTCAGTGGGTTGCCTTGCGAGATATAGCACATATAGCACATATAGCAAGGACGCGGGGGACTGTGAGGGTTCGGCGGGTTGGCGCTCCGTACGCGCCGCATTTTGCATGGTTTTTGCATGACATGTGGAACAGCTTGTTTTTTGCATGACACGTGGAACAGCTTGTTTTTTGCATGACATGTGGAACAGCTTGCACGGTTTTTCACACGGTTTTGCATGTTTGCATGTGCATGGTTCAAGCCCTGCCCCCCCTTACCCCCCCACCCTTTTTTCCTGTCAGGTGCACATCCTGGACAACTTCGCAGGCGAGAGGCCGCCGTAACAGGCGAGAGGCCGCCGTAACAGGCGAGAGGCCGCCGTAACAGGCGAGAGGCCGCCGTAACAGGCGAGAGGCCGCCGTCGCAGGCGAGGCGAGAAACGCCGCCGTCGCCGAGAGGCCACCGTTGCGAGGCGAGAGGCCGCCGTAACAGGCGAGGG